GGCATGTAATTCAGTAGTCACAGCATCACCCTATCAAAGAAGCTTAGCAATGATACATAATGAGTCACTTTTGCTCTCCTTCTTACATTCATGCTAAGCTTAAGTGTGTCACATTCTCAAGTCTCAGCACCAGCTTCTCTTAAAAAAGAAGCAGTCTCATAACATATTGCCATGTGAAGGAAAAAAGAAAGAGGCTGAACTGTGAAATACAGGCAAACCTCATTTTATTGTGCTTTGCATTACTGAGCGTCACCCTATTGCATTTTTTACAAACTGAAAATTTGTGGCAACCCTGTATTGTCAGATGAGGGATAGCATTTTTTAGCAATAAGGTATTTATAAATTAAGATATGTACATTTTTTAGACATAATGCTGCTGCACACTTAATAGACTACAGAATAGTGTAAACACAACTGGGAAACCAAAAATTTGTTTGGCTCCTTTATTGCAATATTTCGCTTTATTGTGGTGGTCTGAAACTGAACCCACAATATATCTGAGATATGCCTGTATACAATCCCATTAAATCAGAACAAAAAGAGTGCGTGAGTGTGAATGTGTGTGATATATATATGCTCATACATGTAAAAATGTAGGAAAAAACAAGGATATATATGTTATAATGTATGTATGTATATATTAACTATATATGATATAGTTAATATAATAAATATATATAATATATGTGTGTGTGTATATATATATATAAACTGTAATTCCCTCCCTCTAGTGTGATAAAGACTAATTTTTGTCTTTGGGTTTCCTGTGTTTTTTTAAACACTGACTGTGTATTTCTTTTGAATAAGGGAAAAATGTTATAAAATTAAAAACCAAAAAACAAACAGTATTTTGGACTTTGAGAGTTCTTTCCCTTGTTTTGCTGTGCAATGAGGAGAGATCACAGTGCCATTTTCTGAGTATTCTTAAACAAAGAGAGGGAAAAATCTATTACAGAGAAACCAAACAAGCTTTGAATTATCAAAAGACTATCAAAAAAACAGAAAATAACAAGTATTAGAGAGGATGTGGAGAAACTGGAACCCTTGTGCATTGCTGGTGGGAATGTAAAACAGCACAGCCACTGTAGACAACAGTGCAGGGGTTCCTCAAAATATTAAAACTAAAATTATCAGATGATCCAGCAGTTCCACTTCTGGGTATATACCCAAAAGTACTGAAAGCAGGGTTTCAAAGAAATATTTGTACATCCACGTTCATAGCAGCATAGAAAAAATGTGGAAACAACCCAAGTGTCCAGTGACAGAAGACTAGATAAGCAAAATGTGGTATATACAATGGAATATTATTCAGCCTTAAAAAGGAAGGAAATTTTGTGACATGCTACAACATGGAATAATCCTGTGGACATTATTCTAAGTGAAATAAGCCAGTCACAAAAAGATAAATACTGTGTAATTCCAGTTATATGATATGGAGTATTCAACATAAAAAAATCCCAGAAAATAATAGTGTTTGCCAGGGGCTGGGCAGAGGGGAGAATAGGGAGTTACTCTTTAACAGAGTTTCAGTTTTACAAGATGAAAAGAGATATGGGGATGGATGGTGGTGATAGTTGTACAACATTGTAAATGAATATTAAATACAATGCCACAGAACTGTTTACTTTAAAATGGCTAAGATGGTAACTTTTGTTAGGGGTATTTTACCAAAATTTAAAAATACATATACAAAAAAGAAAGAGTGTATTTGTGAATGACTTATGAACCATAAAAGCTACAGCTGTACTTTTATATCCTGTATGTTATGAAACAACCATACATTTTTTAAATATGCTGAAATAAATTCAAATGGCAGTTCTAATATTTTCTTTCTTTACTCTGATGGATTGCCTGGGGCCCCTGAGAGGCCCAGCTCCTGAGACCTGATGTGCATGGAAAGGTAAGGCCTCCTCCCCAAGCCCAAGCCTCACTGTGCGCAGGGGAAAGAGGGATGTGAGCAGTAATCTGCCTTCTCCGCCGCCGCCCCTTCTCCTGCATTCCAGGGGTACTTAACCTTTCCCCGGGGTCTCAAGAACATTTAATCCTAACAGACTCAACTATAACAAATCCCCAGCAAGTAGCAAATCCCCGGCAAATTTAGAGAGAGATGGAAAAGGAAACTGGATGTAAATGTTAGTCTCTCGAGCCATGAAGATCCTTGAAAAACTACGTGGTCAACTGGCAAAACCTGAACTAGAATGACGCTCACTGGACAAGTCTCTTGGGTGCCTGGAAGAATGAATAGATCCCAAAGTCTTAAAAACACTGCTTGTGCAAAAACCTGTGACAATTAACTAAAAGAATGAAGTTGGACCTAAAATAAGGCCGGATGCCAGCCGGCTGCTGCGGAGAGGCTTACCTTTAGTATCTCGGGTTCTTTGATATCCAGAGACCTTGGGTTCCAGTGTTGCAGATTTTTATGTAATCTGTGATATTTATGAGCACTTGGTGGTGTAAAAAACCAAATCGTGCAAACTGCAGTCATGAATCCAAGGCCAATGCCCAGAAAGAGTCCGCTCACGTAATGCGGGAGGGGGAGGATGAGGTACGCATAGACGCACATTACAAAGAAGCCCAGCGTCTTCACCGGTAAGTCCGCGTGCTGCACGGCTGAGTCCACCTCGTGGTCGCTGTCCAGAGCCGCGCCATCATCCGCCAGCGCCTCCGGCTTGAGAGGGATTTCCGGGAGCTTATCCACTTTACTCTCCCCCTCCGTTTCCAAGTCAAAGTCCTCGGTGTACAGTTCACAAAACTCTTCATCCTCTTTGCTCACTAAGGCAGACAGAGAGCACTTCTCAAGAACCAGAGAGCCGGTCTTCAGGCCTAAATCCTTCAGGCTGCTCCCCTGGGAACTCTTCGGCTCCGCCTCTCTCGCGGGCTCCTCGGCGGCCTGCGGGCGGTCAGTCCCTGGGGCGGGGGCGCTGGGGCCGCTCCCCTCCCCCTCGCCCTCGGAGTCGCACTCCTCCTCCTTGATGCTGTAGTTGTTATTGCTTTCCAGGTGGCCGTTCAGGCTGGACAGATTGGAGAGTTCTGAAGCACTTGAAGATAAGGCTTTGGGCCTATGGCTGCCGCTTTCTTCCCCCATAATTTTACTAAAAAGCTGAAAAGGCTCATATATGACTTCTGAAAGGCGTCGTTTAGTGTCTTCGATTTTAGCCTCCATTTCGGGCACTTTGAAAAAGGAGCGCGTGTCAGAAGGCGAAGTCAGTGGGGAAGAGGGTGCAGTTTTAGAATCTCCACCTGTGTTGCGTGGCTGCGTGAACTGCTTGAACAGGTGTAAATTCAGCTTGGAGTCGGGTGGTTTGTAGGACACGGCGTCTGACTCCTGCCTGGAGGTGTCAGTGGACAGAGACTTGACTAATGTCTTCATCAAGTGCCTGTGCCGTGGGGGGTGTGGGGATTCTTTTGGCTCCACCTCGGTCGACAGGGACTTCACAAGGCTCATGAAAGGTTTTGCACTGGAAAGGGTGGAGGATGAGGCACTGGATGAGAGGACAGGAGACTTGGAAGGTGAGGACAGCGGGGAGGAAGAACTGGTTTTCTGCTCAGAAAGGGATGACACGCTGGGAGAGCTGGCTAAGGGCCCTGACGAAGACGACCCTGGGGACAGAGCCAATGGCACTGTACTTAATACCTGCACTGCCAGAGGACGGGGCTCCAGCAGCTTTACAGTGTTCTCGGAGACGGGCAAAATGGCAGGGGACACAGACAGCCCGTCTGCCAGGATGAGCTGGGTGCCAGGGCCAGCGGGGTCATGGCCACCCTGGGTTTCAAGATAGAGGTCTTCCTTGGCTTCGAGCCCCGTTACAATGCTTTGGTCGTCCAGCCCCTCTTCAAAGTACTCCCTGAACTCCTCCTCCTCTTCCTCCTCCTCCTCCCCGGATGCTGAGAAGTGAATGGCGATAGTGTCTCGGGACACGGATCTCTGCACGTGCACTCTGGGGGCTGATGGTTTTGGCATGTCAATGGTTTTTTCGGCATGGCGACCATTCAGACTTGTCATCGCCAGCTTCACAAGGGCTCAGGCTCTGTGAAAACAGCGAGAAAACCAGAAGTCAGAAAGCGGTTTCTCCAAAGGAGATGCTGTCACGTGCAGACAGGAGCACAGAGGAAGCTCACTTCTAAATGGTGATTATGCTTTTACTTGGCAGATGGCCACTGTTTTTCACTTGAACAGGTTTAATGGTTTAATTCTCATTAGATAAATTCCAGTTAGGCATTCTCTTTCATGAGCAAACTACACACCAGTTTTATAAACGCCATACAATCTGTCTTACTTCACAACATCTAAGCAATTGTTTCCTCCCTCTTAACTGGCTCATTTCTATCGGTAATTCTGTATTGCAAGGCTTGAAAGACCTGCACAATAGCTGTTACCAGCATTACTTCAGAAGTCCAACAGGATAAAATGTAGCATCCTGGGGATTTTGAGGCTCTTGGAACAAAAACTTCACCAGTGGTTCTCTAGCTATAAAAAGCTAACCCTGGAGGGTTACTGCTTCCAATGCAATTTTCACAGCAATCCTAACAATTATTTGGCTTGCATCTCCCACCAACACTTATACATCTTGCCACAGCAAATAAGTAGCACAGTATCCAAGGAAATCTGTAAACTAATTGCTGTGACCTGTTGGCTTCTTTATTTCCCAAATGGTAGGTACCATAAGGCCAGAGTACTTAGGCAGCCTTGAAGACATGGCCATGTTCTGAGGCTTCAAGGTAAAGTAAACTTACATTTTAAACTGCACCCAAGATTCAAAGGGCTGGGAAATGAAGTATCAACGCTGTAACCTACCACCAACTGAGAACTCTGCTAAGAGCTATGGGGAGAGATATGGAGGCTATACTTTCTGCACTTCTGGAGTTAGTAGCTGGAGAGACAACAGACACCTGAAAAGCTGGGCAGCAAAACAAAAGCAGCCAAACCCACCTTGTGACACCCAGTATATTACACCTTTCCCCGTTCACTTAGGGCCCATTTACTGGGAATCAGGCATCATGACAGGTCCTACAAGATGGAAATTAACACTACAATCTGGAAAGAGACTCTGTCACAGGAGCTAAAACAAACTTCAGGTGTTCTGAGGAGGGTGAGACCAGCGTTGGGGGCAGAACACCCACTGATCCTTTTAACTGATGGGTAGGCTGTGGCATGATGGGCATGATTAGAAAGAAGGGACAAAGGCATGAAGCTGAGCGTGGGCTCGATGTGTCCTGACACGCGGGTCTGTTCTCCTCGTCCAGGACGGAGGGTGGGTGTTGGGAGCAGGGGGGACACCACCAGTACGAGAGAGTCATCATGGGAGAGAGGAAGGAATGGCCTTGGGACCAGGAAATAGAGCTTCTGGTCTTGCTCCTTTTCCAGCTGGCTCTGTGGGACCTTGAACAAGCCAAGACCTCTCTGGGTCTCAGAATCTTCATCTGTTTATTAAGGGACCAAGAGTCCTTTTCAAATCTAAAACCCTGTATGTTTACAGATGACAGTACACAACCCAACATAATATGCTGACACAGGTAATCCACCATAGAAAATTAACATTATGTTGCTTGCTTGTTTCTTTAATTTGAAGAACTCCTATATTTAAGTCTTCCACCAAATATCCACATTCAAAATGCTAGTAACTGCTACTACCAGCAAGAAAGAAGGTAAAACTTCCTGTGTGTTGGGGGGCGGGGACAGGGGAGGAAACCTGTGTGTTGGGGGGCGGGGACAGGGGAGGAAACCTGTGTGTTGGGGGAGGGCAGGAAAAAACTATTTCCTAGAAACAGGAAGTAACCCAACGATGACAAGAATTACAGTTCAAGGACCCAGCCATGACAAGGACACATCTGAAAAGACATGTTTTCACTATCAACACTTGAGAAAAATTACTTTCATTAAAACTTTTCAATTGAGTCTTGCCCAAGCTCATTCATGACCCTCAGCTCTCCTTCCCCCATGGGATCCAAGAAAAGGGAATGTTCTCTATCGACCAGACAAAGCAATTTAAATCCAGGAGCTGGCGGCAAGCTAGAAAGACACAGCCACGTGTTCAGGACAATGCCTTCCTGTTATCTCAAAGCCAACAGGTTTGTAGGCTTAGAAAGAAAAGAAACACCAAGCGCAACACACGTTTTTCATTTAACTGTCACCTAGTTTTATAAGGGTAATTTTGAAAGAAAATTATAGAGGTAATTTAAAAAGAAAGTTTGGTACTTGATAATTCTCAGACGGCTGAAAAATAAGCTTTATTTAAACTGCTTTAATAACATAAAGGATGATCTGAAAGGCTCTGCTGTTCCGAGGCTGCTTTAGTGGTAGTGGTGACTGCAAGTGAAGGCGACTGTGGGCACAGGTGCAAACACAGAGAGCATGATTTGGGGTGAACGGTGTGAGCCAGTCCTCTGGGGAGTAAGGTAAGAGTGGGAAGGCTCTTCTGTAGCTGAGGGTGGGATGGGTTGGGAATCCGCAGGCAAAGTCAGGCCCAGTCCAGGGCAAAGGGGTGAAAAGAGCAGAGCATCCAGGATCCTGTGGTCTCAGCAGTCAGAGCCCCAGGGAGCAGTGAGCTGGCAGCTGCCTAGGAAGGGGCGTCAGGGGCATAACTGCCCAATCCTTCAATGCATAGTCGGGTATTTTGACTTGCTGGTTAAAGGGACCTCTGCTGATCTCTGACTAAACCATCTCAAGGTCTGTGTCAGCCAAGAGGGCCGGAGCTGGGCCCCATGGAGAGCTAGGGGCCAGCTGGCCAGCCGGCGGGGGCAGGCTGGCTCCTCACTGATAATGCCTTTCTCCAGGGCTTGGGCAGTGGCTTCAAAGGTTTAGAGTACACTCCCCCAAATCCACACTGACCAAACCCGGGCTCCATTTCACTAGGTTTTTTGTTTTGTTTTGTTTTTCACTAAAACATGCCATGTGAGGCTGGTGCAGCACTACCACTTTTAAATACAAGAAAATCTTAGGGCCCTGTTCACTCATCTGCAAACGAGAGGATTAGACTAGATAAACGACTGCTTCTAAGACCCAATCTGCTGGATAATGAGTGTCCTGGAACCAGAGTCCATGGTTTGGGTTCTAAACAAGCCATCAAGTGGCCACTCCCTCCTCCTCCTCGGTGGGGGGCACGGTGGGGACTCCAACCCCTTCCTCACTGTCCTCCCAATGGCTGGCTGCCGGGGCCAGCAAAATCTACCCTCCCACAGTCACAGCCTTGCAGGACACCCAAGGTCAAGAGAAAAAGCATATGACTATTGTCCAAAAACTTTCCATGGTTTGTCCAAGGTCACAGGACTGAAGGAGGAGGGGGCGGGGAGACAGTTAGACGTGGGCTTTTGACACTCATGGCCTGATGCCTTCCCCACCACAGCAATCTGCCTCCTCAAGCATGTCACACATGGTCGTTTTATTACTGCTCCACCTGGACATGGTACCTGCCCTCTGTGCTCCTGCATAGATCTCTCTCAGGAACTAAATAAAGGCTCATTTCTCAACAATCAGCATGTGACCAGCTGCATTGGGACATAAAAATTCATTATCCATCTGACAGTCTAGCATCATGAAAAAGTAACTAGCCTCCTGCCCCCTAGACTCAATTATTATCTCAACTCAATTATAACCAGGCTCAACAAAAAAAAAAAAAAAAAGAAGAGACCTTATCTCAAGCCCTCAGGAACTGAAGTGTCAAAAAAGGACATTTCCTTCCCAAAAGGTCTCCTTCCAAAGCCACCAGCAGATCACAAGACCTTGGTGTTTAACACTGATTTTGAGTCTCATGAGGGAAGGACCCATAGCTCACATCGTCAATTAGGACGACTTCCCGCCAGGGATGTGTTTAAACAAAAGTCTGATTTGGTCATGATCAAAATGATGCTAAAGATGAACCATGTGTTCATGGGATGGGAGTGGCAGAGGCAACAACGACAAACTAAGGCCAGAGGTCTGGTGTCTGGAGAAACAGCCTCCATTATCAGGTTCACCGTTCTGCTGAAAATAACTAACAATGAAAACACTGTTTGTTAAAAAAATCTGAAAAGCACTGAGGCTTCATCAACTACGTAAGGAATAAGCAGGCCAAAAGGAAGGAAGAGCCCCAGAGGGATGAGCTCTACAGAAGCTACTCTTGCCCTCAAAACATTTGGTGATTTTGGCAAACTGGAACCTTCATTTTATTGATCTCTTGAGCAGAAATCAAAGTTCAGGGCTGGCTTAGGTGGACCCCAAATGGAGACCCTTCCACAACGAGCTGAGACCCCAAACGGCCACAGGTAACAGGTGAGCCAGAAATAAACCAGCCCTTAGATTTGAGAGCTTTGGGGACACTGTGCTAAGTGAGATAAGCCAGTCACAGAAAGACAAATACTGTATGATTCTACTTATATGATCTATCTAAAGATAGTAAAGATCTATCAGAAAGTAGAACGGCAGTTACCAGGGGCTGGGTGGGAGCAGGAAATAGGGAGTTGTTTTTTAATGGATATAGAGTTTTGTATGATGAAAAAGGTCTGGAGAATGGTTTCATAAATGTGAATATACTGAACACTACTCAACTGTACACGTAAAAACAGTTAAGATGGTAAATTTTGTTATGTATACTTTACCATAATTAAAATATTAAAATAGTTTTTAAAATTTCACCATTCAAAACTTTACAATACTTTGAACTAGTTATCATGCCAACTAAAACAATTCTATTCAAAAAGCTCACACTGTTCTTCAGTGTTTACACACCATGTGGTTATGTTCTATGGTAATAAATGCAAATGTATTCATTAATGCTCCCTTACTTTTTGGGGGGAAAAAAGGCTATTTAGAGTCAAACACTCTCCAAAACTTAGCCTTAGTCACGTATGTTTCCAAGAAGGACTTCTCAGACTGTTCTGCTGATGGGTCTTAAAGTCTTGGCTGCACCTCTCCATTAAAGTTACTAAGCCTTATAAAGACGTTCATAGTTCTCACTAAGACTGAGAAGGCCAGCATTAATGCAGGATTCTATTCTATCTGGTCTAAAAACAAGGAACAAACCAACGGCTTTCATCTAACCTGAACTCATAA